TAAAAATTTGTTTAGGCTTGTTTTATGGCCTAGCATATGAATCACCCTAGAGAATGTTCCAGGCACTGATGAAAATAATATGTATTCTTTGGCTGTGGGATATTCTTTTTTCCATCCTAGAGTTTTTTGATAAGCCTTTGTAGTTTTTTATTTGACATATTGAATTCTTCATTTCTAATATTTCAGTTTTATTATTCTTTGATATATGTATCTTCCAGCAGAATTTCTCATTTATGTCATGTATGGATTTCCTTAATTCATTTAATTGTTTCTCTGTGTTCTTGAGAAATCTTACAATTATTCTTTTGAATTCCTTTTTAGGTGTTTCATCAAGCTCCTCATCTTCACAACATAATATTGAAGTATTATTGTGTTTCTTTTGGGGAGTCATACTGTCTTTCTTGTTCATGTTTCTTGTATTTCTATATTAATTCTTATGCATTTGAGGAAACTGTTTTATCTCTTCAGAAGGCCTTATTCTTGGAAATGTGCCTCTGTGGCTTATTGGAATACCTACACTTTGAGCAGACATCTAGAAGTGTAAGCTGGGTGGGGGCAGGGAGCTCCAGGCAGTGTTTGTGAGTGGGACAAGAGTCCAGATTGACACCCAAATATCATCAGTAGGGGGGAGATGATCACACTGGCTGGTGTATTCATAGCCTCAGGCTTTCTCTGAGCCAGGGTGAAATGGTATCCGAGGGTGAACTCACTGTGCCTGTGCACCACATCCACTCAAGTGCCCAAACTGCATGAAGGATCTGTGTGCTTCGCAGTGTCAGCATGGAGCCTTCTGTGATGCCCTCCCTCTCTTCTTGGAGCTCAGTGGGTGCTCTTCCCCCTGACAACTCTCTAGGCTGGACTTGATGTCAGTGGGGACCACAGGATTTCCCCTCAGACACATCGCCCATGGCACATGGGCTGCTGCAGGCTTCTCTTTGCTTGTTCTGGAAAGATGGCTTCCCTAAGAGCCATTGGCTGTGGGAGTCACTGGTAGCATCTTACCAGCTGATGCATGTTTGTACAGGCTTTACTGCTCATGTATCATCTTCTGTCCTGTAAAGTTACCACTGCAAATTTTTCTCCACTATCCCTTAGGAACACAGTCCATCTTCTGTTCTTCTGGTATCTTCTCATGGTGAAAATCAGTATATCTTTTCCCTATTTCACCATCTAGCATCTCTGGCAAATACAATTTACCTCTATAGTATATGAAACCTGGCCAGGAGAAAATATTTCTTTCTTGAATATTGGATAAGCAATTGTCTAAAACTATTAGTTGCATTCCTAGTGATATGACAGCTTTTGGGAGAAAGAGATGACTAGGGTCAGGTGTGTTTCTCAAACACAGAGACAGATAGGGGCAATTTTGGAAGAGGACTGAGGCATGATGAAGAGGTGGAAAGGTCACCTCCTATATTGTGTCTCCAGAAGATCTGAGGCCCAAATGCACAAGAGATGATCAAATGATGCATGGAAAATGCCTAGCATATATACATGGATTTCAAACATTTTTGCACTAAAATTAACTTATCTTTTAATTCCATTTTTCCATGAACTTTTTAAGAAAGATTTATTTTGTTTGAAAGGCAGTTACAGAAAAAGAGAGAGAAGGAAAGACAGAGACAGAGATCTTCCATCCAATGGTTCACTCCCCCAGTGACTGTAACAGCTGGGGCTGAGCCAAAGTTGGGAGCCTGGAACTCCATCTGGGTCTTCCATGTGGGTGTCTGGGGTCCAAGAACTTGGGCCATCTACTGCTGCCATCAAACAGGTACGTTAACAGGAGTTTGGTTGAAGGTGGAGCAGCTGGGCTGAGACTGGAATTGTCTTTCATATGGAGTGCTTGCGTCACAATTTGTGATTTAACCTTCTGCGCCACAACGCTTGGCACTTTGTGAACTTTTTGAAGTTCCCTCATACACTGCTGCTTTTTCTGTTAGAACAAGATATACCTGAAACCAAATACTCAATGCACACAATTCGTTGGCCAATGCATCTTTCATGGCCTCTCTGTTCTGAGGAAGCAGGAATTCCCAGCCAGCCACTTTGGGACCAAGGAGTTGAGAACACAGAAGTAGGAATCTAATTGCTCCTATATTTCCAGTTTTGCATGCAACAGACAAATCAATCATTCCTCCTTCACTTCTCTTCTCCCTTAATTTAGTATTGTTATAAAAGAATTATATGATCTAGCACTTAATTCTTCAAAATGTGAAACTAGCCTTCTGCTATCACCATTAGGAAAAGTACTGATAGCAATTTTCCCCCCATGCAAAGACCCATCTAATGAGTAACTCTCTTAAGCATGTGTTCATTTCAGGACTTGCACTTTCAGGGCCGGCGCTGTGGTGTAGCCGATAAAGCCCCAGCCTGTAGTGCCAGCATCCCATACCGGGTCGAGTTCTGGCTGCTCCACTTTCAGATCCAGCCCTCTGCTATGGCCTGGGAAAGTGGTAGAAGATGGCCCAAATCCTTCAGCTCCTGCACCCACATGGGAGACATGGAAGAAGCTCCGAGGTTCGGATCGCCGAAGCTCTGGCCATTGTGGCCAATTAGGAAGACAACCAGTGGATGGAAGACTTCTCTCTCTGCCTCTCCTTCTCTTTCTGTGTAACTCTGACTTTCAATAAATAAATAATCTTTAAAAACAAAAAGACTTGCACTTTCTAAAATAAGCCTTTTAGTTTTTTATTAAAGAAATTTCACATACTTAGACTTAAGTGTGGCTAGTGTGAATATGGAGTATATTTGGTAACACAGAGTTACCTCAAGGCTCCTGTGTTCATATGAAGACAGAAACACTAACATGTATGGATTACAGCAATGACATAGGAGCAGACTCCTGTGTTAGAATTCCCATCACTTCTGAGTTTTCCCAGCTGTGACTCCTCATTTACATAAATGGACCCTTTTAAAGTATATTAATGACGTTGATGTTCTACCTCCAGCTCCATTTGTTTATCGACATTCTCACCCTGACGAATCCACCTCATGGCTACATTTTTTAGATTTATTTATTTATTTGCAAGGCAGAGTTACAGTGAGGCAGAAGCAGAGAGACAGAGAGATCTTCCATCTTTTAGTTCACTCCCCAAAAGGTCTTAACAGCCAGAGCTATGCCGATCTGAATCCATGATCCAGGAGCTTCTTCTGGGCCTCCTACATGGGTGCAGTGGCCCAAGGGCTTGGGCCGTTTTCTACTGATTTCCCAGGCAATAGCAGAGAGCTGGGTTGGAAGTGGAGAAGCCAGTTCTTGAACCTGTGCCCATATGGGATGCCAGCATCGCAGGCAGGGGATTAACTATTACACCACAGCACTGGCCCCTCATGACTTCTAAATGATTGGTGAAGAACTTTCATGTTAGCAAGGTCATAGTGCGTAGAGATTTCAAGTTTGAGCCTTTCAGTCAGGAATCTGGGATTGCATTCCAACACTTTCACTGATTAGTATGGCCTAGATTTACTTTCCCTGATTCACAGATTTCATATGTATGAGGGAGGGACATGATGCTCAACCTCCAAGGGAAGAGCCAGAATATCTATTGAGTGCCTGCTGGTAGAATAAGCAGCAGAGAAATGGTGGTTAATATTTTGATGGCCATGTTACCTACTAATCCAATAGTTTCCTTTCTTCCTCTTTTATTTGTTAAGGCATTGAAAGTCTCAGAAAGAATAATTATAACACTGATTGACAGTAATTATAATTTCACTTAACATTTATTATATGATGGTAAATTTAAGTATTTCATCTGGCATATTATAAATATTATCTCTGTTTCTAATGAAGAAATCAAAACTGGAAACTATGACTAAATATTCTAAATATAATTCACACCTACCCTCAATGCTCTATTCAAAAGAAATCTCATACTCTGATTTTGAAATTCAGTCTTTCCTTTCTCCTTTCTTGATTAAACTTGGCCCTTTTCACAATGAATGCCATAAAAATCCAATTCTGATACAGTAGTGGAAAAGATAACTTTAGGGGATGATTTAAGCTGAAAGTACATTTTGTTTATAGCATTCACTATCCCAGGGCAATCTGGATAGAATGAGGGCTGCCTCGGGCCAGTGGCTTCTCAGGTATTCATTAATCCTGAAGAAAGCTTCAAGTAGGGGTCATTACCGCTTAATTACAGTTTGTGATTACTGGCACATTCTTCAATGACCTTATTCTGTGTGTTGCCCTGTTTGTTCACTAGAGAATTCATGCAGCTGGAAATTTTGGCTGACTAGAAAGTTTAAATGAGTTTTTTGTTTTTTTGTTTTTGGCTTGAATTGAAGGCTGTTCTTGCTGAAATGTCAACACATTTTTCTCCCATCTGGATATGGTTAATCACGGTGCTTGCTTTTATATACTTTCCCCATAAGCTTTGCTTTTGAGTTGTGCCTAAATTTACCAAGATGCTATTTTAAAGCAGACCATGGAGCAGAAGTTTTGCTCAATCATGATTTACTCTTAATGGGGATAATGGGAAGTTTTCACATGAACACTTCAGCCTATTCAAACCTGCAGTCCAGGGGATGCCCAACTGTAGAAATTGCAAGAAATTTTAATTCCATTATTACCCTAAGGATAATATTGTTCTAAAATCATAGGGAAGAAGACCCAATTTAGTAACAGAGAGTACTTGGCTGGGATCTGGTAAATCCGACTGGACTCTGTGCTGAATCTCAACTGGTTCCTGGGCAGAATAGTTGTATTTATTTATTCACACATTATTCATACCAAAAATACTTGCTGAGTGTTTCCTCTGAGCTACACATTGAGGATGATATTGTGGCTACTGATGACTGTGGAGACTGGGACTTTGTCCTTCCTCACTGTATTCATAGTACCTTCTGAAGTGTGTGACAGCACATAAAACAAATAGCTGGGCTTAAACAGAATTGTGTTTATGGACAAAGAACTTTGAATATAATATAACTTTTAAATGTCCTGAAATGGTGTATTTCTTATGTGTTTTAAAACTATATAAAAGTCTGAAGATTCTCCTTACCTCATGGGCTCTACATAGACAGGTGTCCAAACTTGTCAGATGAGTTGTAGTTCACCTACCCCTGAGTGATACACAAACAAAATAAACTGTAACATAATCAGTGTTGTCATCCTTTCTCTTTTTGTTGTCCTAGCATAGAAATCATCATTTCTGTGGGAAATAATGACACATTCAAGAATTCCATATGCTTCCTTAAACCTCAGAAAGACAATTACCAACATTGATACCAAAGGGAAGAGTAGGTAAAAAAAAAATCAAAGGGAAGAGAATATGGTATGAGTATACCAGAGTATAAGATGGGGAATTATGAGAAACATGGAGTCCACAGAAGTAAGCAGGAAACATATAAATAGTCTTGTGTGCTGTATAAAGGATTTTGAATGGGCCGGCGTTGGGGCACAGTTCGTCATGTTTTGCTAAACCCTTCTCTAGAATCAGACAGTGTGATTCGAATATTATTCCATATCTTACAGTGGATTGTTTTGAGAACATTACTAAAATTCTGTACTATTATGTTCTAGTGAACTCTTCTTTTTTCCATTAAGGAGAAATCCAGGAAAAAATTATAAATATAGTATATAATTACCTTTTAAAAGTCAAGAGTTGGTTAAGATTTAATTTTAAAAATCTAACAGTCCCATAAGGATTATTTTCTCATAAACTCTTCTCCATGGGCCTCTACCAGGTGCTCACAGAGAAACTGGGTCTTGGGTAAGAGACTGGAGAGCCCCCTATATTGACCCATGGTGGGGCATCTGTGCAGGAGATATCTAGATGGCACTAGTTGACAATCAATGGCCAACTTCCCCATATCCTTTTCTCCCAGGACACAGATGACTTTAGTCACTGGGAGAGGACAGAAAACACTCTTAATATTATGGATGTTAATGGAGGAACAGGAAAACCTCTCATCAACACAAACTACAGATATGACACTATTTGTGGGGGGATAGAAATCTATCTCTAGCCTAAGACTAAGAGTTTGACTGATATGGGAAGAAGAGGAATGTTGAAAATTCTGAAATTATAGACTGACATATAGAAGATGCCCTAGTCTGAGATTGGAATAAGAGAACTAAGAAGATTGTTCTCAGCCTTCAGAAGACTAGCTCAAAGTAACAAGCAGCAATAACCAACTGAACAGAGTACAGAGAGACCCTTTTGGGGATTTAGACACTCGGGAACTGCTAAAGGGGAAGGGTAGAATAGGGTCACTAGAAACCCTCCAGTAGTCCCTGCCCCATATTAAGCAGAACACTGAAGGTAATGGAAACTTATGGTACAATGATAAGAATAACAAAGAAAGCCAAACCCAATTCAATTGTTGTCTAGAATTGATCTGATACTTCTTTCGCCAACAGCTAGGAAAAATTCATTTCTGGGAATAAATACAATTATTCTCAAACTCTACTGTTCTTTGACATGTGATGTTTACCATTCAATCAAAGATTACATAACACACGCACACAGTCATTGTAAAATGATAAGAGTTATCTACAGAACTAGTTACAGAGATGAACCAGTTGTTTAACAATTGGAAAACAGTTTAAAATTTCTATCATTGCTTTCTAAGAAATCTAGTGAACAAGGTGGACAACATTCATGAGTAAACAAGGATTTTTAATAAAGAAACGAAATTTTCTTAAACTGCAAGAAAAAAATATCAAAATTAAGAAAAATGGCTTATCAGAGGCACAGGTTTCCTTTTATGGCTTGATCAGCTGACTGCACAATATTGTGGAAAGAATGAGTGAGCTTGGATAGAGATTAATAGAAATTGTCCATAATAAAATGTAAAGTGAGGCCGGCGCCATGGCTCACTAGGCTAATCCTCCGCCTTGCGGCGCCAGCACACTGGGTTCTAGTCCCGGTCAGGGCTCCGGATTCTGTCCCGGTTGCCCCCTTCCAGGCCAGCTCTCTGCTGTGGCCAGGGAGTGCAGTGGAGGATGGCCCAAGTACTTGGGCCCTGCACCCCATGGGAGACCAGGATAAGTACCTGGCTCCTGCCATCAGATCAGCGCGGTGCGCCGGCCGCAGTGTGCCGGCCGTGGTGGCCATTGGAGGGTGAACCAACAGCAAAGAAAGACCTTTCTCTCTGTCTCTCTCTCACTGTCCACTCTGCCTGTCAAAAAAATATAAAAAAAAGTAAAATAAAATGTAAAGTGAAAAAAAGAGCCAGAAAATATCCATGTAACACCCAAGAGTTATGAGTCAAAGAGTTATGATCTAAAATATTAACTAATTAATTAGAATTTCAAAAGAGAAAAGATATAGGATGAGGCAGAATAACTAATTGTATAAATAATAGCTGAGAACTTTTTTTCCAACTTTTATAAATTTTGAAAGTATAACTTTTGGATTATAGCAGCTTTTCCTCCCATAACCTCCCTCCCACCCACATCCACCCCATCTCCCACTCCCTCTCCCATCCCATTCTTCATCAGATTCATTTTCAATTATTTTTATATACACAAGATCAATATAGTATATACTAAGTAAAGATTTCAACAGACTGCACCCACACAGACTAAGTACAGAGTACGATTTGAGTATTAGTTTTACCATTAATTTGCATAGTACAGCACATTAAGGACAGAGGTCCTATATGAGGAGTAGGTGCACATTGACTCCCGTTGTTGATTTAACAATTGACACTCTTATTTATGACGTCATTAATCACCCAAGGTTCTTGTCATGAGCTGCCAAGGCTATGGAAGCCTCTTGGATTCACCAACTCTGATCTTATTTAGACAAGGCCATATTCAAAGTGGAAGTTCTCTCCTCCTTTCAGAGAAAGATATTGCCTTCTTTAATGGTCTGAAGAACTTTTCAAGATGAATGAGCAACAAGTCTATGTTTTTTTAAGGATTTATTTATTTATTTGGGAGGCAGAGTTACAGAGAGAGGGAGAGATAGAGAGAAGTCTTTCTTCCACTAGTTCACTACCCAAATGGCTACCCAGGCCAGAGCTAGGCTGTTCCAATGCCAGGAGCTTCTTCATGGTCTCTCATGTGGGTGCAGAGACTCAAACCCTTGGGCCATCTTCCACTGTTTTCTCAGGCCCCCAGCAGAAAGCTGAATTGGAAGAGCAGCACCTGGTATACCAACCGGCATTATGGGATGTTGCCATTGCAGGAAGAGGCTTAACCTACTACACTACAGCACTGGCCCCAATCTATGGTGTTTAACATACATTTATTCAATAGTAAATGACAAGCAATTTTTCTATAAAGTTCACAGCATCCACTCATAATATAATGTAAACATACCTGTATGTATAGTAGAAAACTTCTAAAAATCAGACAATGAGTGATATTTGAAAGCAGCTGAAGAATCATCAAACAATGCAAAGAGAGGGATAACGACTTGATTTACAACTGACTTCTCATCAGAAACTGCATGATGGAAGATAATGGAGTGACATTTTTAATGGTTCTAAAGTAAAAAAAAAATCAACTAAGATTTTTGTCAGTCAGTGACAATGCACTTCAAAATTGAAGACAAAATAAATATTTTAACATGCAAATACATTGAGATAATTTTGTGCTAGCAGAAGAACTACACTACAAGGCATTGTGAAGCAGGCTGCCAAACTGAAGTAGTATGAATGGAAATCTGGATTAAACAAAAGAAAAAGGTATAAAAATGGTAGAAATGAGAGTAGATATAATATGTTTTTGTTCTTTTCAATGACTTTAAAGTTAATTGACTAAAGTAAATAATAATATTGGATTCTGGAAGTTGTAAAATGGGAACTGTAAAATATTTGACATTAATAATGCAAGTGATGGGCAGGAGAAAATGGAAATATACTGTTGTAAGATTTTTACACCATATGAGAGAGGTTATGGTATCATTTGAAAGTAGATTGTATTAAATTAAAGATTCATGCTGTAAACATTTGAGCAGCCACTGAAAAAATTAGAAATGTAACTAAAAATTAATAGTGAAGGCAAAGTAGAACTATAAAAACTGCTCAATTAAAAATGACATGGTGATAACAAATTTTAAATAATATGTGGTACCAGTTAAAAACAGTGAGCAAGATGATAAATTTAAAACAAACCATTTAAATGTTTACTTTAAACAATATGAAATGCAAATAAAAGGCAAAGATTTTCATATTGGTGAAAAATTAATTTCGAACTCTGTGCTAGTCATAAAGTAATCTCTTTTACATACAAAGCAATAGGGTCTTAGTCTGTTCAGGTTGCTGTGACAAGGTACCACAGACTGAGGGACTTATGAACAATAAAAATGCTATTTCTCAATGTATGGAGAGTGGGAAGTAGAAGATTAAGGCATCAGCAGATACGGTGTCTAGTGAGGACTCCTCCCTAATTATAGGTGAGCCAACTAGAGCTGGCTAGCTCCTCGGAATCTTTTATTAAAGCATGGATTACAATTATATAGGTCATACCCTCATGACCTAATTACCTTCCCACTAACTAATAACATTACTTTGATGGTTAAGATTTAAATGTATGAATTTTTCAGGGATAAGCATTCAGTCCATTGAAACACAAATCATTGAGTATGTGGATCTTCACAATCACTAATTACAAAGAAACTCAAAGTGACTCTGTTATTACAAAATGTAGTAGACTGCAAATACAGGAATATTAACAAAAAGATAAAGAGTGACATTACACAGTAATAAAGAAATAAATTCATCAAAAACATAAAACAGCCCTAAACGCTAATGAACTCTAGTAAGCAGTTTCAAATATATATTTCAATTCTAATAAATTTTCTTTTTCACATTTTATTTATTAATATAAAGAAGACAGATTTCATGTATTTCATAGATATGATTCTAAGAATATAATGATATTTTCTTCCCCAGCCCTCCCTGTTCCTTCATTTCTTTCTTTTTCTTTTTTTTAACTTTTTATAATAGCACACATTAAATTTAGGGTCAAATCTACAAAGACAGTTGAAAATGTCAACTGTTGTCAATCAGTAATTAAAAAAAAGTAGAAAGAAATCAGTAATGCTATATAATAGCTGAACAAAACTTGAATTAATTGCTATTTATAGAAAATATACTAATCCGTGGCTAAATACACATTTTCTGAAAGTTCATATTAAAATCTACCAAAATATTTGTTTGATATTCTTGGCAATCAAACAAAGTACACAACAAATATAAATAATATACTTAATCCAAAGGTAAATAACAGAAATATGTATGGAAAATCCTCATCTACATGGCAGTTAAGCCACATATTTCTAAGCAACTTTCACACCAAATAAGATTTCACAAGCATCATTAGAAAAGACCTTTATTTTAATAAAAAGTTGAATACTCTAAACTTTATGGAATGCAATTACAGCAGTGCTTGAGGGAAATTTATAGCATAAGCTACCTATATTACAAAAGAAGAAAGGTTTGAACTCAATTATCTAATGTTTCACCTCAAAATAATAGCAAAATGAAAGTAAAGTAAATATAAGCCAAGCAAAATAAAGGCTGTAATAAAGTTAAAGCTGGAATAAAAGTTTCTTCAACAGAGAAAATCAATAAAGCCAAATGATAAACTTTTAGAAACAGATGACAAATATCAGGAGCAAAAGTACATATCATGCAGTCTGATTTTATCAACAAAAATACTAAGAGCAGATTTATTTCAATAAATTTGATGTCATGGATTCAATAGAAAAAAATAACAAAGTCACCACTTATTACAGCTCATTCAAGAGAAATTAGATGACTTAAATAGTCCTTTATATATTAAGTATAACCTTCGGTCAAAGAAAGCTCAGACAGGGACGACTTTACTGATTATTTCTACCAAAATTTATATGCCACAAAATGTCCACCAGATACTAGAAAAATCAGGAATTCTTGTAATTCATTATATGAGGCAGCTATTATCCAAATCTAAAAATACAGAAAAAGAGATTGTAGAACAGAAAACTAGAGTTCAATATTTCTTATGAATATAATGGAAAAATCACTAAAAATAAACATGATAAAATGGAATTCAGTGACAAATATAATGTATATGACTAAATGGGGCTCATCCGAAGAATGCAAAGTTGCTTCAAAGTTGCAGAATCAATCAAAAGAATTCATTCAAACAGATATTCAAAATCCTAGCATATTAGACTTAAAATTAATGAAGTTATTATAAAATTTAGACAGAAGTACAAAACAAAACCTCTCCTTTACACCCTATACAAAAATCAACTCATAATGGATCAGGGATTTAAATTTAAGACCCCAAATCATCAAATTACTACAGGAAAATAGGAGGGCATAGACAAAGAGTTGTTGGATAAGACCCTAGAGGCACAGGCAATAAAGGCAAAAATAGACGTAGTACCTCAAGCTAAGAAGCTTCAGCACAGCAAAGGAATCACTCAACGAAGTCAAGAGGCAACTGATAGAAAAGGAGAAAATGTTTTCAAACTACAGATTTGATAAAGGATTAAGATCCAGAATTTATAAGGAGCTGAGGCAACTCAACAACAACACAACAAACAATCCAGTTAAGAAAAGGGCTGAGGATATGCACAAGCATTTTTTTCAAAGGATGAAATACAAATGGCCAACAGACACATGAAAAGCTGCTCAGGATCACTATTCATCAGAAAAATGCAAATAAAAACCTACAATGAAATGTCATCTCACCCCAGTTAGAATGCCTTTTATAGAAAAATCAAAATTTATGAAAAACAAATTTTGGTGAGGATGTTGAGGAAAAGGTATCCTAAAACAAATTTGGTGGGAATGTAAAGTAGTACAACAATTGTGGAAGGGACTCCGGAGATTCCTTAGAAATCTGAAAATAGATGTATGATATTACCATTCCATTCCACTGTTGGGAATTTACTTAAAGGAAGTGAAATTAGCATATGAAAGAGTTATTTGTACTCCCATGTTTAAAACAGCTCCACTCACAATAGCTAATATATGGAATCAACGTAGATGTTCATCAAATGATGACTGGATGAAGAAATTGTGATACATAAACACAGTGGATTACTATTTGGCTGTAAAAAGAATGAAATGCTGTTTTTTTTCACAACAAAATGAATGCAACTGTAGATCATTGTGCTTAGTGAAATAAACAAGCCTCAAAAAGATGAATATCATATATTTTCCCTGATTTTTGATTACTAATATATGGAATACAAAAATATGTAATGTATATGTATGCAATTGACATTTTGAGACTTGATTATTGGATATAGTCACTGTCTATACTCTTGAGGAACCGTGGTTTTTCTATTTACTGAATATTGAATTTTTTGTTGGGTGGAAGGTTAAGTTTGTGATTATAAAGTAAACTGAAACTACACCATTGTAAAAATTAAAAGAAAAATAACAAAGAAAGATGGAGGGAGATGAGTGAATGACAGAGGCAGAGGGAGAGTAAGTAGTATGAGAAGTATTATTAAGCTCTTAAAACTATATATTTGAATTAAATGAAATTTGTTATCTTTATGTAATTAAAAAAAGAACGAAAAAATTTTATTTAAAAATGGGAAAGGTTAACAATAACGAAAGCTTAAAGCCAATTCTTGAAGAAGAAAAATGACAGATGGTAAAATTATAGTAAATAAGACAATGTAGTATTGGCACCTGGACAGACAAACCAATGGAGCTAAACAGAAGTTACTAGAACATGCCAACGCATGTAGTCATTTGATTTATGAC